CAGTGCTTGGTATGTGCTAAAAGCTTAATAGGGATTAAATGAATGAATAAATAAAACTCTCAAAGAGAATTCTGGTTTTTTTGCAACAGACCAAGCTGCCAATCTGAGTACAAGTGAACCTGTTCAAAAAGATCACTTAATTCTCTGGACTTCAATGTCCTCATCTGTCCTGCAGTAACTGAGAAAAGAGGAATGTAATTAGCTCATCTGTTTCTATGACAACCAATTCCATAGCCATCCCACCTTTAATTACTTCATCCAAAACCTATGCACTGCTATTAACCACTCAGCTTCCAGGCAAACCTGATATCAGACATCACCACGTTCACTCCTACTGCTACTCTTTCCCACACATCAAGACCAGGGCTCGGCAAACTTTCTGTAAAGGACCACACACAAATATTTGCAGTTTTGCAAGCCATATGGTTTCCATCACTACTGCTCAACTCTGTGATTATGGGGCAAAAGAAGCCATAGATAATATTTAAATGAACAATCAGAGATGTGTTCCAATAAAACTTTACTCATGAACTGAAATTTGAATTTCATATAATTTTCACATGTCACAAAACATTTTTATTTTTCCAAGCATTTAAAAACGTTAAAAACCATTCTCAGCTCCAGCGCTGTAATAAACAGGTGGCAGGTTGTATTTCCCTGGTGATCCAGACATTTCCCTACCGCTGAAAAGCAGCACTGAGAGCTGAAAAGTACTTTCTGAGAAAAGGTTCTGCAGAATCAGCTGGTTGACTTCTCTCTCTTCTTCTTGCCTACAACTTTAACTTATAAATAATTTGAAATCAGAAGAACTGAGATAGCGAGGACTATAAAACTCATTTGTTAATATTTAATCATAGCAGTGCTGACTTATAAAAAATATTTATATCTCTTTTAAAAATTACATTAACATCTTCTCATTATACAGAGACAATTTCTCTATTAATTTTAACTGACATGCAATTCTACTTCTTCCCCCATCCTCTTGACCTTGAAATTTGTTGCCTGAATGAATAAAATACAAATATTAGAAGTAATAACGACCGGTTTTCATCTATAAAAACTGATTTTTTTTTTTACTATTTAATATTAAAAAGATTAACAATATTGGATTTTAAAAGGCTGGCAAGAAACATAGACTGTTGGTGGTTGTATAAATAATTAACAGTACAATCCTTCTGGAGGGAAAATGTTTGGCAAAATTTCTAAAAAAGTTAAAAAATATATAACTTTTTGACAACATTTATACTTCTAGAAATTTATCTTAAGAAGATAATCAGTTAAGTCAACACATATTTATATACAGTGAGTTTTATACTTTGAAGAATTATTTATAATCATAAAAAGATTAAAGCAATTTAAATGTCCAACATAAGGCTTGGTTAAATAAATCATGAATGGCATACAATGAAATTCTGGATGGGCATAAGAAATAATGATATAAATAGGCCAGGGACAGTGGCTCACACCTGTAATCCCAGCACTTTGGAAGCTTGAGACAGGCAGGTCACTTGAGCTCATAAGCCCATGAGTTCAAGACCAGGCTGGGCAACATGGTGAAACCCCATCTCCACCAAAAATACAAAAATTAGCAGCTGTGGTACCACAGGCCTGTAGTCCCAACTACTCTGGAGGCTGAGGCAGGAAGATCACTTGAGCCCAGGAGGGGGAGGGTGCAGTGAGCTATGAACATGCACAGCATTTCAGCCTGGGTGACAGAGCAAAACCCTGTCTCTAACCCTGTCTCCAAAAAAAAAGGAAAGAAAGAACATAAAGAAGTAGATGACATAGATATATGTTCACAAGATACTGAAAGAAAAAAATCGCATTACAAACTGCATGTGCTGTTTGATCTCAACTGCATAAATTTCTACATATGGGTTGTACATGTACCAGTGTGTTGTGTGTGAGGCTGAAGAAAGAGAAGTAGCGAAGCAGGGAGTTAAAAGAACGGTCAGGAAGATGTTCATACAGTGGTTGCACCTAGATGGTAGGAGTTTCAATGATCTTTGTATTCTTGTATATATTTTTCTGTATTGTTTCTATTGTGTTACAGTGAGCATATATTAATTTTAAATTGTAAAAGGTTTATTAGAACATATAACACCAAAAGTGACTGCTAATATAAACTATGGACTTTGGGTAATAACGATGTGTCAATGCAGGTTCCTGGGCTATGCCCCACTCTGCCACAGGATGTTGACAGTGGGGAAGGGAATGCATGTGTCGGGGCAGCATGTATATGGGAACTATCTGTACTTTCTGCTCAATTTTGCGATGAACCTAAAACTGCTCCAAAAACTCTAAGTGTATTAAAAAATAAATAAAAATAAAAACTTACTAAAATAATTCTTATCCAAACAATTCGAAAGTTCTGTTAATTAGAAGCAATTTGAGTCCCATAAAAGTCAATCTGAAAGGCTTTTATCAGAGGTGGTTTTAAAATACAGCAGATTACTCGGCGTGAATGGGGAAAAGTCCAGACAACTGAAACACGAAGTCCCGAGCACCAGCTAGCCAGGAGCTCCCTGGTCAGAAACTGATCGAAGAACGCTCTCCTCTTGTGACAACCTATTTTGTGCATTCACACTGAGGATACGCTACTGTTTCTATCCTGTTATTTCTGATTTAACAAAATGTTTTCAGTGAAAGCTTAGAGGACTTAAGACTGGGTTAGATAATCAAGGGCTCAAGGAGAGCAATTTAACACTTTGTCTTAGATTAGCTTTAAAATGGAATTCTGGCTGGGGTCTAAGACCTGTTGCTAAAAGATAAGCTGGTCTTAAGGGCTTTGATGGAAGAACAAGTGCCAAGATGAGATTCTGATGATAAGCCGTTTCTGTTACACTACTACAAGGCATTCTAATGCAAGTCTGAGGATAATAAGAGCAGAGTTGGGAGAAATTAATGGGAAACTACTGAGTCTTACCTCAATTTTCATTTTCTTCTTTATAAAAAATATGTACATTACAATTTATACTTCCTTTGCCATATACATACTTACATATGTATGTCATTATCTACTGACTTTTATTTTAACAGAGCAAAAGGCTTACATGTTTCTGTACCAAATGTATACCTTTTAGTCAGAACTACCTGAATGAGATTTTTTTAATTGCAGGGAGACAAAAGCCACCCTTGATAAGAACTAGGATTCTTATCAAAGATTTGCAAACCCTAGTAGTATAGTATATAAGAAGTATCTTATATTAACAATGGGATGTTAATGAGTTTATAGAAGAAATTAAGTTCCTAATAAGTCATGGTTCCAGATTTTCAACAATGATCAAGTCATACTATGCATGAATCTCAATGCAAATAAGCTGAATTTACAAAAAGCACTATTACTAACTTATACAGAAGTTGTTCCATGGGATAAAATAAGCACTACTAACTTCAGTTTAATACTGCTGGCATTAGTTCAAGATTAGCGTTATACACGCAGCACTGGAGTAAGCGTTTTCTGGTTCCTTGACATTCTTCTCACTAAACATAGTACTAAACCCTGTGAGCAAATTTGCTAGTTTCCCTTGGGAAACATCTAAAATTAAGAATGCAGTTTATTAGGGAGCATAATTTTGTGGACAAGACATTTTTAATCATGCATTATCTTTAGTAATTATTTTTAATCAGGCATTATCTTTAGTAATTAATATTTTTTGGCCAGCCCTTTTATCTACAAATACAGAACTCTTACACCTCAAAAGTAGTGAAATAACAGAAAGCAATAACTCTTGTGGTAAATTCTCATTTCCTAAGACACCCCCACTTTAATCGTAGCAAGATACATTATAACAAATTCATAAGAAACAAAGAACTCAAAATCATTGGGATAAACTGTCCAGATTTTTCAAGTTAGGACACAGCTTATGGCATTAAGAGAAACAGCAGCATACTTCAACCATACAAATGCCACAGAATTTCTTGATGAAAAGTGTCCACACATTTCCTAGCCATATTTTTTCTTTTTAGGCTTTTATATGTTAATGTGTGAAAAACAGATGTGATTCAATTTCAGGCAGTCTGATAGGAATGCTTTTCCTCACCATCCAAAACCTCAGCTTGTTTTGAAAAGGAGTCACACCATGGAGCTCCTTGAAGAACTCAGGAAGCTTCCAGAGGGCACTGACCTGAACTAAATTCATCGTAAATGCTGAATTCCTATGCAATACCCCAGGGAAAAACAAAGGCAACAACGACAAATTTTATCTTCACAACTATCCTAGGAGATACTTTTTATCTCTCTTTTTTAAACTAAGAGTTTTCTAGCCCAGAGGTTATGTACCCTGCTCAAAGTCACGAGGCTAGAGGTAGGATCTGAACTCAGGGAATGCAATGAAAACCTAACTGCCTCCCTGTGAGGCAGGAGAGATGCAATCTAGCTCTGCATCTACAGGCCTCCCGAGCAGAGGCCCCACAGAGAAGGAGAGCTCTCCTGTATCTCCTGACTGCTTCTCCTCTCAAAGGAATGTGCAGATGCCCTGCTGTCTTCCAGGACTGCTGGGAGAACATGAAATTCATAGATGAAAAACTTCTGAAAAACTACAAGCTCTATATATGTGCCATATGCTAAATATATCCAACTCTGAATATCCTAGCAACACAGAAATTACTTTCTAAAATATAGAGAAGAACCTAACAGTGCCTTCTTTGCAGCCACCCTGGAGTGTCTTTTCTGGGGTTTATCTGGAAGCCTGTACAGTGACAAACCATCTAACAGGAAGTCAAGGTCTTAGATGCAAAGCAAAACACCCTGGGCAAGGCAATATAAAACACGGATTTGACATCTGTTGTTGAAGACAGCCAAGCAGCTTCAAAATACAAAAGCATATATAAATAGCAGTCTGTATCCAGGGAAACACATTTTCTCTTTAATAAAAATATTCTTGATTTTAAAGAACACATTAAAATGATTGTTTTAATTTCAAAATGTCAAATCCTGAGAGAACAGAATAATTATTTCATAAAACTCTGATAAATAAAGAATCAGAATTACTTCTTACCTCCCACATGTATACATTATTCTTAACCTGAGATCTTTTCTTCTTATCACCAACAAATGGCCCAAACTTTTTGCCTTTTAAAATTGGTTTAGTGGCCCAGACACCTAGAAAATAAAATCAGTATTTTTATACTATATCATGGTTATTTTAAAGATTGAAACCATTAAAATCAACTAAGTTTCACAAAATAGTTAAAAGGCTAAACTGCCTAAATCAAGCTAATGTCAAATAGCCTGAGATCAAGTTAAATCACATTAAGTCGAGTGCTCAGAGGGGATTTTTATTTTTCTTCTTTATACTCTTCTGTTCTATAAAGAGCTTATATTGTTTTATAATTAGAAAAGAATGTTTTCTATACTCTTAAAATGTTTTACATGTTACACTACCCATACAGTAGGATCACAAATATTTGAATAACACAATCACAACTGAAGAGAAAAAAATATTGGAATGGAGTGAAAGTACAACTGATTTTTAAGCTCCTCTGTCTGCTTGTCTATACAGTTCAAATTGTCTCTAATGAACATGACTTGTTCTTATAAAGGGTTAGAAACAGAGTTTAATGAATAAATATTTTTGAAGTTCACTTGCTTAAAGTGGAAAACCATTTCCTACCTAACTAAACTTCCTGAAAACTTAGCTACTGGAATGGCTCACTTTTCAGAGTTTCCAGCAGCCAAAATAGCTGTTCATCGACAGTATTCTTAGGGTTATTTCTATTTTCTATGCACTAACCATAACAGAAAGCGATATAATGAGCAAGCGGTCTGTGAAATGGCAGGAGTGTGGCCCAGGAGTCCAGGGAACTGGCACATAGCATCCCTTTAGATCGCTGCCCTCATCTTTTGGCTTCAGTTTCCTCAGGTACAGAATGGCAGGTAAAGGCTGGGCCAGTCCTATCCTGCTAGAATGTACGAATTCCACTTTTCTGTAAGTCTGCTATTAACTGCATTTGACAGCACCTCTAACAATTAGTTGAGCTACAAAATCAACCACTTTAATTTGAACAATATACTCAAACTGCTCGATAAATAAGTTTCCAACGAGAATTTTTTAAAGCATGTATTAAAATTTTTTCACACATATGTACATATAAATTAGAGTATCAGAAGTGTATCTTAAAAAAGAAACAGGGATGTAAATATGATATATTCCAAGACTGCATTTTGACTAAGGTTTTACAGTTTACTTCCTTAGCTTTCTGTCTAAAGATGAAGCCACAAAAAGACCAAACACACACAAGCTTGGTTTGCATTCAAGAAATCCCAGCCAGAAGCATTAGGATACACTCATAGCATGTTATTCATTGAAGCATCTACTGAGGGCCCACAAAGTATTTGGTACTGGAGGCATAAAGATAAATAAGAAATGAAGGTACCCACAAGCAATGACAGGGACGGGTGGAATAAAAACAATTACAAAATAATGAAGTGAATATAATGGCACAATCATACTCATCACGATGAAATCAGAGAGAAGGGAAACAACACGTTCTGTGGGACAAGGCCCAGCAGGGAGACTCAGAAGAGGAGGACACTTGGGCGAGTCACGAAGGATGGGGCGTGTGTGTGTGTGTTCCTGGTTTTGTTTTTACAATCCGTGTCCAACCTGGATTCTTGACTGGAATATGCATCAACACCATATAATCTTCTAAGTCAAGGGTAAATCCGCTGCTTTTATGGTGTGCTCCCTACCTGACATGCCCTTGCAGGAAGCCTCACTGCCACCTGCTCTTTACTGCCTGACTTGTTCCGTGACAGGAGAAGCACTCACCAATCCGGGTCTTGTCAACAGCAGATGGGAAAAGCCTCACTTCCTCCGGAAGACCTCGCAGCACATGTTCGGGTACCTCAGCCAGGGTCTCAGTGGCCACCGCAGGCTCAGTAGTGTTCTGCAAGTCAAGAAATAGAAGGATCACAGCAAAAGAAAGGAAACAAATATTGTGGGGGTTTTTTTCTGGTTCAATAAGCAAATATGTAAAAATGTAACCGAAACCTGAAGCTGGCGAGCCAGACCAAAACGCTATGTCAAGCATTTGAGGAGCTGCTTTCATGATTGTTTGTAAGTGTCCAAAGGAAACCCCTGCAACCTTCAAGCATGTCTGTGTTACTCTATTTTGTTCCAGCCACCTGTGGCCATTTCCAAAATATAATCACCTCCGGCACCATACTGCTTTAAACTCAAACAAAATCTGGCAGCAAAATACAGCATAAGCTTACTTTTAAATCAAAGGCTACCATCAGTACCTTAACACATTTAAAAAGTAAAAACCAACACTGGTCACTTCAATGAATGCTTTCAGCACACACCACAAAGGCTACTAGGGCCCTCCAACCCTCCCCTATCCATGCCGCCCTCCAGCAACAACCCCTAACTGGATGGAGCTTGAACATTCCACCCCAGAACACGACAATTTATTGTCGTCCCTCATTGTACGTGCCACCTTTCCAGGAAACAGTAATTTACCACTGTTTACCAAGTCACTAAACAGCAAAGTCACCAGGATATCACAGAGTTGCTAAGAAACAGATAATTTTATAAAATTACTTATCAAAGTTTAGTCTGGAATTCATCATAATCTTAAGAAAAGATTACTACTAGATAAGTATGTAAGGAAGGGAGAGATTTGAGCCAACTGGTAGAATATGACTGTTATTTTTTAAATAACTTTCAAATCAAAAGAACACTAAGGGTCTAGTAACTAGTACATCATATATCCTACAGAGCTGACGTGCTTATCAAGTCTAACTGATGGGCATCTCGTGTTACTGCTAAGAATGATGGGTTTTGTAGTCTGAGTGTGTTTCATTTCACTGCACAGGGAAACATTTCTCCAGGACTTTTAAAGGAACCAACATAGGCAAAAGTCATCCCCAAACAAAAAAACTAATTGTTCTCACAACAACGAAGCTCTTGTAGTCTCAAAAATATATGTACCAAGAAAAGAATATCATCCAAACTGGCATACTCTCAGCATTTCAATTTTTGGTTTATTAAATATCAGCAGTCTACTTCAAGAGAAATAAATCTTACAGTCATCATAAACATGGCCATCTACTCTCTGGCCTGCTTCAAGTTGGAGAGCCCAAGAGAGGGCATCTAGAGACAGGTTTTGTCTCTCATGCAGAGCTGAGCCAACTGAGCCTACATTTCAGACACACAAATGCTTTGTTCCTGCTTGATTTACACCTTTGTCCCAACAATATCCCTGAAACATTTGCCAAAACATAAGATAGTCATTTAGCCCCAGAAAATGGTCTTACGGTACCTTCAATTAGCTAAAGTGCATAGGCATTTTTCACTTCTAAATATAGTGCCCCCATTTTTAAATTTTTAATCTATAAGCTGGATTTTTGGAAATATGAACAACTTATTTCCGAAGAGGGAAAAGGTATTACACTGGTAGTTGGCATCCTAAGCTACATAATAATTATTTCAAATCACTGATAAGTAAGTGACATTAACAAATATTTGCCAGAGTGAGGCTTCCTATCAGCACCGGCCATTTAGTAAAGCAAAAGGGAGTTTTCTTCCTCCATCTCAGTTAGGGCCCTAGGCAAAGACTCAGTACCATTTATCCTCCCCAGGAGCACAGTTAGGGTCACCTCATCTGCTAACCTAAACTGGTATCTCCAGGCACTTTTACAGTGATACTAACGACAACTTCATATTTTCTGAGAACTTCCTTGCTCAAGGCACTGTGCTGTCTTACAGGCTGGGTAAAATTTACCCCAAATAGCCCAAAAGGGCTCTTTTCTTACTTAGATACTATCAGTGTCTCCTCCTCGACACACAGAGTAGGAAATTAGAGCTTAGGGATATTGTTTAAACGGCTCGAAGCCTGGATCTGAACCCGCATCTCTCTGATTTGAGTGCCTAGTCAGTACTAACCATCATGAAGTTTTCACTTAAGATTCTGCTGGAATACCATCTAAGAACCTCTGCCCTAAAACTTCCATATTTCCATGGAAATGTCAGCAGGAGATGGCGCCTAAGGCAGGAATGGTCATTCCCACAGGAAGTGTGTAACTTGAGTACAAGTTGGAGATCACATGTATTAAAATTTCTGAAGCACCCGAGAACATAAAGGACCTCAGCAGAGATGTCATGGGAAAAAGAAATAAGAAAAAATTCTATCCATTTGTTTATCCATTTTAAGTCAACTCATTATTTTTTATCTTTTTTTTTCTTTTAAATTACTCTTTTAGTAATTTAGACCCATTAGTTTTTCTTTGGGGCTCATGCACCCAGTAGAGGAAAGTTTTTTCTGTTATTTTTGTATCCTTCGCATTACAAAAGGACCCAGCTACAACAGGAGCAAATCAATTCGCAGCAGCCCAGCCCAGATGCTGGGCAGACCCAGGGCCCTCCCTCCTTTCTCCTCCACAACCCCGCTGGACTCATCATGGCAATGGCTATGGCTGCAAACTGCCTGGAACATTTCTTGAAAATCAGTGATGTGAGAAGTAGAAGGCAGACTCATGGGCTGGACTGCCTAAATAGAACCACCTCTTTTCTTCCTTAGTTCTCCTTCATAACTCTTACCACAATTGTAAATGCTTATTTGTATAGCTCTGTGTTTACTGTGTGCCTCCTCTGTGAGACTGCAGTGAAGACAGATGGTGTCTATCTTATTCAACGTTGTGTTCCCAGTGCTTAGCAGGAGATTTCAAATGTTTGTTGTCACTTAAATACTTGAATGAGTACATGGCTCTTTGTAAACTAACTTAAACCTTTTTTTTTAAAGGGAGGAATAGAAATAAATAAAAGAGCAGGGTCATCTATCAGGAAGTATTTTCTCCACATGCATTTGAATTTCTTGAATTTGAGGCAGATATTCCTCCGGGACAATATAAGAATCCTTTTTCAGAAAATGTGCTCCCAGCACTTTGGCGGCTGATGCGGGTAGATCACGAGGTCAAGACATCAAGACCATCCTGGTCAACATGGTGAAACCCCAACTCTACTAGAAATACAAAAAATTAGTTGGGCATGGTGGCGCGTGTCTGTAATCCCAGCTACTCAGAGGGGCTGAGGCAGGAGAATTGCCTGAACCCAGGAGGCAGAGGTTGCAGTAAGCCAAGATCGCGCCATTGCACTCCAGCCTGGGTAACAAGAGCAAAACTCCGTCTCAAAAAAAAAAAAAATACAAAAAAAATGAGCTGGGTGTGGTGGTGCGCGCCTGTAGTCCCAGCTACTTGGGAGGCTGAGGCAGGAGAATTGCTTGACTCCAGGAGGCGGAGGTTGCCGTGAGCCCTGGCCACGCCACTGCCACTCTAGCCTGGTGCCTGGTGACAAAGTGAGACTCTGTCTCAAAAAAAAAAAAAAAAAAAAAAAGTGCTACACCATTAATTCCAAGCAATGGACAAGTAAACCTTTGGAACAAAGTAATGTTTTCAAAAAATTCTCTCCTCCACATACTCATAAACTGTAATCTCTTCTTGGTACATATCCTGATAGGATTAGATGTAATATCACACTCTAAACAGGTTCATCTTGGTTCTTACACTAAAGAATCACAATATGATCCCAGGATTATTTCCCAGATTGATCTTGTCTAAAATAAATTGTACCATCTACTCAATTAATTTATTTAAATATTTCCGAATCTCTGCTATGGGCCAGGCAATGTTCTAGGCAGCACACTTGCCTCAATAATGCATCACTCTGGTGAGAAATACAGACAAAATTAAACACATACATACAATGCCTGATGCCCTGGAGAAAACTCAAGCATAAAAAAGGGGGTACATGCCTTCTGATCAATGGCGAATGAAAAAAAGAAGGGAACATAGTCATGGAGCAGGGATGGAGATGCCTTTTCAGACAGAATGCTGAGGCCTCTCTAGAAGCAGAAATGGAATCTGTGACGATATCAGGGAAACATGCCAGGAAAAGAAAACAGCCAGGACAAAATCTCAACTTAAGAGAAAATGCAGTATGCAGGCAAAAAGACCCATGTGTCCAGAGCAGAGACGGTGAGAGAAGCAGCTAGAACTGAGCCAGGAGGGGCAGGCAGGGGTAAGGCCTCTGAGAAATACTCATTGCCATTAGCTTGTCTGCACAGAATGAGCGGAGCAGAGAGCAGACCGCGAGCTCTGCAAGGCACCCCAGCTGCTGGCGTCTCCTAGCATGCCCTGTCCTTGCTGCTCCTCAATAGAAGCATGTTCCTGTCTTAGGGGTTTTTAACAATGATCACTGTGATATGAAAGAAGCTAAAGGACTTCTCTGCTTTCCTATTAGTTAGACCTCAATGAGGATTCATTATTTGACTGCTTAATGAAGTACAGTCTTTAAACATGTATCAATGAACAGATCTGGAACAATATGTATTAAATTTAAGTTAATTTAATTGTAGTTATTAACTATTACTTGATCTCATTAATCCAATGTCTCCAACTTCCTACCTGAAACTCAAAGAAAGTCACTACTCGCGGCCGGGCGCGGTGGCTCAAGCCTGTAATCCCAGCACTTTGGGAGGGAGACGGGTGGATCACGAGGTCGGCAGATCGAGACCATCCTGGTCAACATGGTGAAACCCCGTCTCTACTAAAAATTACAAAAAATTAGCTGGGCACGGTGGCGTGTGCCTGTAATCCCAGCTACTCAGGAGGCTGAAGCAGGAGAATTGCCTGAACCCAGGGGGCGGAGGTTGCGGTGAGCCGAGATCGCGCCACTGCACTCCAGCCTGGGTAACAAGAGCGAAACTCCGTCTCAAAAAAAAAAAAAAAGAAAAAGAAAGTCACTACTCGCTTCTCTTCCCCCAGTGAATCACCAAAGCCTCTCTCCTTGATTCAGCCCATCAATCAGTCATTAACAAATACTCCCTAAGTGTCTGATCAGGGCTAGCACCATGCTGGGTGGTGAGGATCAGGGACCCCCTCCTCACGA